TGCGAGTAGTTCCTTGCCGGAGCTAAATGAAACAAAACCCAAGAAGCAAAGAAATCAACGCCAATAAACAAATCAACTCTGAGCGTAGAATCCTATAACTCTAGTCCCTTGTTCTCAGGCCTGCTCTACAGCCGTCACAAACAACTCACCAAACATCCAACCGAGGGGGCCAAGCTGTCAATAACGGGAGAACGGGGGAGAATGTCTGAACTCCAACTACCGACGGGGCGCACCTCCGCCCAGAGTTCCTTGAGGAATCGCCAGGCCAAGTGCTCCAACGAACCCAGGTCTTCGACCTCGAAGGAATCTCGTTTTGCTCTTGAGTGGTTTGGGGCCGCAGCACTCGTTGCTGGGCTCTAGGTTTTTGTTTCACAATCACACTCGGACACACCAGGGGATGTCAACAACGAGGTTTTGGGAAGCTTAGAGTCTGGGACGTTACGTCAAGACGTTGGGGGTTTAGAGCTTTTGAGCTTTTGGCCCTTGGAGGACGCTTTCAATTAAGCGAACTTAGGGGCGGTTGGTGGAGTTGTTGGGAGCAGGAGTCTTTACGGTTTAGGCTCATCGCTTTGGACAACTCGTACGGTTTGTGTTGTAGCAGCATTTAGGGCCATGATTTAGCATATTCCACTTTTGGCTTCTGCACTCCACTCGTCAACAGCCTCTACATGCATGCGAACTGCCAAACGTAGAGGGACGCAGAAACTGAGTTTCTCACACCTTGACATGAAGCCTTCGCAATGATGTTGGTACACCTCCTCTCATGAAGCCGTAGATGCGTTTGAGGCTTGTGGCTGTTTACAGGTTTTAGTTGCACACTAAGTATGCAAACGACAGAAGGTAAGGAACGGGCCCTTTCCGGGATGATCCAAGCCTCTTTGGGGATCATCAAGAGCTCCTGCGCCAGGACGGACAATGCGAAGCATCGATCGCATTTGAGGCTCAGTGTTTTCGAAGCTAGCGATAGGGCTCCACTGGCGCTAAAAGCCTCACTTTTACATGTACATATGCCAATACGAGTATAAGCCTAATCTCTAAAACTCAACAAGCACCAATATGATAATGACCTACGTACAGGGATCTAAAGGGGTCCGAGCGCATGCAGAACTGCGTTACCGGCCGAAGATGGCCTTCGGTTTGGTGTGAAAGGCATCTGGCATCAGATCCCTCGACGCTTTTGCATCCAGGCCTATTGCGACTGCCCGGTACCCTGAAGAAACGATCCCTCAACCCTCAAATTCCTCAGGCTTCAAGGGCCTTCCAGAAACCCCAAACTTCAAGCACAACAGTACACACGTACATGCAGACATCTACATCTAGTCATTCACCTTTCTTCACTTTCTGCCCTCTTGCACTCAGTCGTTGTATGCTTGGGGATAACTACACCAGCCTCCCGCAACCCCAAACTCGAAGCCTGATCGACTCTGGCACTGCCACATTGACTCTTCCTGGCGGGCATGAAGATGGGCGGTTGAGGTTCAGGGTTTGGGACTTCCGGTTGCAGAGGGCACAGCACCTTTCGGCAGGCGAGACCTTCCTGCATTGCGGGAACCTTTCTTTCTTCGGTGTGGTTTTCGGGATGGCTTCAGCTCACGCTAAACATAAACATCGAGGAATCCTGCTGCGATCGGCATCCTTTTTTTCCTGCTTTGTTCGGTACCTAGTCCTCAGACGGGTTCCAGGTCTTTGCTGCACAAGGCTCAGATGGTTCGACGGCCCATCACGCACATTGGAGTCGAGGACCAGACTGCGACCCTGGCATTCTCGGCGTCAAACTTCGGGCAAGGAGAAGTTGTAGCCAAGCTTGCTCTCCAACGCAAAGAGCAGCTCGTTGGCTTCTTGCTCCTCAGTTTGAGACTCCACGTACACTGACTGGCCCATGCCCATGTCCTTGGTGTCTCCGAGGTCTCGAGCCTGGGATACGCTCTGCTTCCTGCCTCGATGCTTCTCCTCAGCCTCCCTTAAGAGGTAAGCGCTGCAGACGTTGTAGGGTGGGGGGTTGCTAAAGGTGCGGCCCTCCATCGCCTCGATGAGCCGCCGCGCCTGAGCTCTCTCGAGAAGGGTCCTCCAAACATCGTAGCGGAAGCGGCCGACGCCCTCCTGGAAGTGCTCGTAGTCAGCAGTGGCCTGCAACTTCAGCTGCTCCGAGCTCAGGCCTCTTCCTGTCAGGCTGCTCCACTGCTTCCGCTTCTCTACGATGGAGTTCTCGAGTGCTCTCACCCGCTCCTCTTGTATGGGCCTCCAGAACGGATTCTCCACGGCCGACACGACAAGGGGAGACCGCTGCTGACGCTGCCGGCGGCGCCGGAAGAAGTCCTGAATCTTCCGGATCGCCTCCTGATACCTCTGTTCACCGACGAGTTTTACCAGCTTCTTCTTGGCCCTCACGGAGCGCCAGCGGCTTTGTACCTGCGTTGCGGCTTCTGCCTTGCTGGCTTCCTGCCATTTGCCCACCAGACGGTGCCCGGATGGCATCGCCAGGCGCTCTCTCATCTCCTCAATCGCCGCCTCTGCCGAGCAGACTCGCTGAGCAATTCGCCGTCGCTCATCCAGAAACTTTCGCCTTCGCCGCGCTCGATTCACAATCACCATGAAGGATCTTCGTCGCGCCACGGCGCGGTACCAGCGCTGCAATCGTGTGGCAGCGTCGTCAGGCCCGCTTGGTGGAGGGCGCTTTGGCCTTGCTGGCGGCGCGAGCGGCGCAGGCGGTGCGGGCGGCGGAGGAGGTGCAGCCATTGCAAGTCTCAGTCTGCTAAAACGGCGGCAAGTCTGGTCCGAAATGAGTGCCAGCATCAGAACAAGCTTGCACAAATCATTCTGGAGATCTCTTGGCTGAACCAGTGCTGCTAAGCCCTATACGCCACAATACAAACGCCTATATTAACGAAGGGACCGAAGCTTCACAAATCAGCCCGCACCTCCGAAGCGCCACGCCCCCACCAAGAAGCAGCTGCACGTCACCCAAGCCTGCAGGGAACATTTTTTCGGCTCGAACAAGCTATCTACATAGCCTCGCGACACCCCTGAAACGCAGCCTAGACCCTCAGAACCTAGACTATATTCCTAAAGCCCGAAACTCCATGAAATGAGGCGCCTGTGCAGCCTTTAGCCTCCATCCACTCATAGAGCTCCTTGGCGCCCTCTGGTTCGGGGGCATCCTTGGCTCGATCATATGCGAAGCTTTAGAAGGTTTCTTTAGAGCTTAGCTTTAGGATATGAAAAAGGCTGTCTTGGAGTAGTGTAGTTGGGGTTTCTCAAGGCGCCCATGCAGGGGGTTCTGTTAGAGGTTATCTGGTTAGACTTGCAGTTTCGAAGGTCATGGCAAGGGCCACTTGATGCGCGTTTCTTGTGCTTGCCGACCCCAAGCCAAGCGGGCATGCTCATGATGCTCGTTTCTTTTGCTTGCCGCTTGCGCCAACCCAGGCAAACCAAAACGACTGCGGCTGATGCTCATGATGCTGTTGCTTGTGCTTGCCGCTTGCACCAACCCAAGTGGGCCAAAACCGCGTCTGATGCTCATGATGCTCGCTTCGGGTGCTTGCACCAGCCATTGTTGTGGCCTGCCGGCTTGGCTTGGGGCAAGCGGCAAGCACGAAATGAGCATCATGAGCATCAGCCGTGGTTGTTCTGGTTTGCTTGGGTTTTGGGGCAAGCACAAGCAACGAGCATCATGACCATCGGGCCCCGCTGCTGACGCTCATGATGCTCGTTTCGTGTGCGTGCCGCTTGCCCCATCCCATGCAATCCACAACAATCGCGGCTGATGCTGATGATGCTCGCTTCGCGTGCTTGCCCCAGCCCAAGCAAACCAAAGCAACCGCGGCTGATGCTCGTGATGCTCGTTTCTGGGGCAAGCTTGCCCCGACTCCCCAACCCAAGCGGGCCACAACAAGCACGGCTGATGCTCATGATGCTCGCCTCGGGTTTCAAAGTTTCTCCCAACCCAAGCTGGCTACAACAACCGCGGCTGATGCTCATGATGCTCGCTTCGGGTGAAAACCCGATTCTTCTAGAAACCTCAACCCCCCAGATTCCAATACAGCTGAGCTTTCAAAGCCAAACCTAGACTTGGGCTTGCGGACCCACGGCCTGCAGCTGATGTGACTGTGGTACTTTGGCCACCGACATCAATTCCCGTTCCAAGTAGTTCACACAAAATCGGCAGTGTACATAGCATAGCATCGAAGGTAATTGAATGACCCAACCCTCGGCTGTAAGCTTGCAACGAGTGGACTGCAGGAGAAGAGTAGCCCCAATCCTCCCCCGAGAGAGCATGCCTCATCAACGATGTCCTAACAACGGTGCTTCAAGCCTGAACCCCAAACCGAACATCCCTGCATCAACCATAGCCATAGCCTGTAAGTTCTGTTTGTAGCTACCTTAATCCCCTACTGTTCGGCCTTTGCCATAAAACAGGCTATGCAACGATTCAGGGTGAAAGCTACCGGCTGCCGAATTTCGGAGATCTAGCTGATCAGACTGGGATCGGTGCAGATTAAACTATAGACCAAGGAAGCCCAAACCAGACCAGTCCTAAATAAGACGGCCCCCCCCATACTCAACGCATGAGTGTGTAAAGGTAGAATTGAAAATCTTTGGGACTCCGCTTCAATGTAGATTTGTTGGTTTCAGGCTACGCTTGGGGGTAACTGCCGTTGGCAGGCACGCAGACCTTTTCATTCTGCTGGCCACAGCGAGGCATCAAGCTGAGAGGCTGCTCTTTGAAACATGCCCCCCATCGCCCAAAACTTCGTAAGGTACTGAATTTAGTATATGTACCAATGTACCTGCAAATATGTGTATATATATATATACACATGTATGTATGTGTACATGTCTATATGAGTGTGTGTATATACACATATTTATGTATATATGTATATGCGGATCACATGTGCACATCAATGAAAACTCAAGTAGGCGTTGCTGACTTCGACGACCCCAAACAGGTCACGTGCGTTGAGGCTTCGGGCCAGCAAGAAGCAAAGGAAGCCTTGCAGCTAGAGCTTAGAGAACTGTGGCTTCGTCTTCATGATCGTCGCTTGAGCAGCCTTCATCAGATCCTGGGACATTGTGAGGGCGTAAAGGGCAAAGGGTATTGTTCGCAGGGCTTGCATACGGGCTTGTGGGGTTTCATAAGGCTCTTTTGCTTAACGACCCCGTGAACCCCAAACAACAATTCATCCAAAACGTAAAGCTTTAACCCTAAGACACAGCATGCGGTCCTTTGACATGCCGACATCGGCCAAACTCAGTCTCCAACAGAAACGTGATTCCTGAAAACCTGCCGATTTGCAAACGTCTTGTGCAAACCTCAGATTTCGACGACCCCGTCGAGGTCCAAGCAACCATCTACACCCCCCAAGTCCCTGCAGAGTTCAGTGATTCGGGCCGGGGGGCCCCCTAGAGCCCAAGATCCGAAGATGCACTGTCGGTCCAAAACCCCCCTGTCCTCCGACATGAGGTGAATGGAATTCCACTGGAGGATATGGTCTAGGCCCTCCTGCACCGTGTGGTCCCGGCTGTAATTCAAACTCCTCGGCCGATGTTGATGCTTTGGCTGCTGGCCAGGGTTTGGGGATCAGGTTCTGAGATAGCCCAAGTCGCACTTTCGTGCCAACCACCGCCACTGGAGATTTCGAGGCGATTTCCAGCGCAACTTTCCGTGCTTCGGCCAGGCATGCCTGCATGCAAGGCTGTGAGTCTGTGAGGTTCCGTTCTTCCCGCTTTAGCAATATGTCAGGCTCAGGTTGTCAGAGTTCGGCCTTTGAGACCAAATAATTACAACATAATCCCCCGCCCCGTAACACGCAAGTTTTTACCTCTATGGGGGATGGTAGCAGTGGTAGGATTAGAAGCAGTAGTATAGCCGTTGTCGTCGTCGTCGTGGTAGTGGCACTTAGCATTAGTCGTCGTCGTAGGAAGCAGAAGCAAAAGCAGTAGCAGTAGCAGCAGTAGTAGTAGGAGTCGGCGTTTCATACCAAACCCCAAGGGTCCAAGTACCTAATAATCATATACTCTCCAAAATCCTAAGCTACATAACTACTATCCTAAAACCGAGTACCTAATTATTGGGTCCTTTGGTCCTTTGGACCCTTGGGGAAAGAAGGGTGAATCCTTAATTCACGCGTACTGCCGAGTAAACAACTGCGACTTGCGACCTCCTGGCTGAAGCTGAAATTCGGTGAGGCCTCTTGGGTTGGCAGCACCTTTCCAACGAGGCCAAGCTCCTTCGCCTCCTGTCGCATCTCAAGGAAAGGGGGTTTGGAGTGTAGGCAGACCTCGAAGGAATAGGGCTTGAGAGCTCTTTTGATTTTGAGGGCTTAGGTAGGCCTAACTAGATCAGCATTAAAAGTCCCAAACTCCTAAAAAAAGCTCATTCTGCACCTCGGATGCTACGCCACGGCACCCGGAAGACAACCATGAATATATGGGGGTTTCCGAAGATAGGGGACCCTAATATAGGACCCTAAATAGTAGGATCCTTATTATAAGGACCCCAAGATATGGTACCCCTAATTTTCGGAAACTCCCATCTCACTCTAGAGTCTCTAGAGGCCTTGTGGCCCTCAACAGTGGGTATCTAGGATGGAGCAGAGAGTGGTTACAGGGTAGTTGTCGACTGACTGAGAGTCGAACTTTCTGGGTTGGTGTGGTCAAAACCTACCGCACCCAAACCGGGAGTTCTCAAACCCCCAGAGCCACAGATGAGGGAGTTTTGACAGTTTCTTGGTGCTGTATGTGCGGTGTTTGCCAAATAATAATGAGGATCCCACTGTTCGGGATTCTATGCTAGGGCTGTGCCAGATCTTCCTTTGCAGGGTTTAGGGTTCGGTTAGGCTGCAGGGCTTACCTATGATCTCCAGTGTTTTTTGGGGATTGCCAGCTCTATTGGTACAAGCCCAAAATATGGAAACCAGGCAACACGCAAACAGAGGCTAGGTCATTGCATTGGCGGGGTGTCATCTGATCCTGGATCCTTTCGGTCAAGCCGCAGCAGCGCCCATTCGTCGTCCCGTAAAAGCAAGCTCCCTGACAACGGAGTCGTTGCCGACGATTTTGGGCAATCTCTGCAAGGTCCCAACCTTGGTACGAGGGCTTCGGGCTCAGGTAATGCATTTACTTGTGGACCGCCTCTGAACTGAGACTGTTTCGTTGGTACCGAATTCCAAGCTGAATCTCATGCATTTCAGAGCTTGGCGTGGCAGTCAGTTCTTTCACCTGTTCGAAGCATCTGCGACGCCTTGTGTCATGTGTTCTTTCCCACATAAACACAGAAACAAAAACACACCGTTCTCAAGATCAACCAGGCAACATCAGCGGCCAAGCCGACATTCACCTGGCTTTCCAGGCACGGTCGTGCAGGGGTTAAACGAAACCCTCGGCCGCAGCAACTCTTAGAAATGAAGCCCTCCAACATCCTCGAACCTCATTGCATTTTTGTTACGAGTAGTCCTACGACAACCACCCCTATATAATGCCCAAGCCATGAGCTACTAAACAAGAAGGCCGTAAGGGAGCTGAATGTGGTCCGAAGCATTTCGAACATGAAGGACAATCAAAGGGGACATACAAAGAATTGGGTGCTCGGGTCCATTGTAGTAAAAACAACAGATAGAATATGGAGGGGGCGGGGGGTAAATTACTAAGTTTTACAGAGACCCATGACTTGCTGAAATGGTTTTCGGATCGTAGCTCTAGCTTCGAAGTGGTCCAGGGGTTCTTGGAAAATCCGGACCTCGGCGATGGAGAACCAAGCATCCTCCGTGCAGTAGCGGATGTCACAGGCGCTGGCTAAATCCACACCGGCGCCCACCTGCGATGTCATCAATGATGTCCCTAGGGGTTTAGGACCCTTCGGGCCCTCGGTACAACTATCATGCCACACCTTATTTTGGAATAAAGCTGTTAAAGAGATACAGGTTCACGTTTGAGACCTTATCGGGGTTGCAGGTTTCGGCCCCAACTTTTACAGGGCCCAACAGAAACGGACTGCTGCTGCTGCTGCTACGAATATTGTATCGTCGTGGTGGTTGTTGTTGTGCGTCGGTGTGAAAACTGAGCAGGGCACCACCTTATCAAAGCAGACACTGTGCAATGCTCCAAGTGACGATGCCGCTGTGCAGAGCCACCACCACAGGCTTACGACAACGTTCCAGGCTGGAAATGCCTTCCTCGGGTTTCGAGCTGATAGTTTGGCAAAAACTTGGTAGTGCAGGGTAGGAGCTCTTATCATTCCGATGCACAATGTGTCTGTCAACCCCCATAGAAACGGAGGCGAGTCGAGCCGTCATAATTGGCACGACCGCTAACCCGAATCCAATGGTTCCCAGTCGTCACAGGACGTCCAGAAACGCTTCAATCTACTTCTTGCCTTGCTAGGATCGCGGCTTAGGGCAGGGTGTTGCAAAAGGAGGAGGACATGCTTCGTTGACACATCCGTAGTTATAGGGATTTGTGATATAAGATGCATGGGGCGTCCACTCTGGCGGCTCTGCCTAGAATGATCTTGGACAGGAAAATGCTCTGGGCTTGGGATCTAGATGGAGAGGCAGCAGTCACGGAGTTCAATTCTTATTGCGCGTCTACATATCGAGTTTTGTGACAATGCATGTTGGCAAGTTCGAGCAAAGCAAGATTGCTTCCTTCCGCCCATATCCCTGAACAGAATCCGAAACCCTTTTTGCTGCATGCTTGCACGCAAGGACGCCTGGTAGTTTAAACCTTAACCCCAAGCCCCACCTTTGCCAAATTGGGCTGACTGACATGACAGAGCCGAATGGTACCTAAACCCTCTAGATCCTTTTGAACTACAATTGGATCTGGGAAAAAGCCAAGCAAGTAAAAGCCCTTGCCCCGATAACAACATGTACAACTCCACACAGACGATCGCTTGTACCCATATCCAGAGCTCATACACCTCCAGAAGTAGCACTATGTATACCAGCTGAGGTTTGAAGTCTAAAGGGTCAAACAAACCCAAGCGTCTTGGCATCGCTTGATGACCTGCTCCATTCGAAAAGCTTTGCGGCTAACATCGAGGGTGGCATCGCCCGTCGGGAAACCACCAAGCCTGAATCGTACAGACTCATATAAGGGCCTTAGTAATTAGAAGGGTTTTGGGGTATATTACACACTACCAATAAGAAGGAACCCTCGGGCCTCTAGGAGTTTCGGATTGTTGGGGTTTGGAGGGCAGTGTTCCGGTATAGGATCCCAAATCCGAGCTGCAGGTGCTACAAAGGCCCCGTTGTGGCAGGATCCCGATACATTCCACACTGGGTTTTAGGTTGAGACCCAGAAGAAAGGAGGTCGTGGAGAGTGACGGTAGACCTTGAATGGGTACTCGGTTAGCTGGGCCCTACCTGAGGTAGATGTTCAGGAAAACAAAATTCCATGCAACTCAGGGCTTCAGTAAAGCTTGAAGGAGAGGCCTCGCGGCACGTAACAGCTGGGCACACAAGGCACACAAGGGCGCTGGAGGTTTAGGCAGAACTCAAGCCATAGCCAAAATACCCTAGGCCGACCAAACATCAACCCCGAAATGCCCACCCGGCAACCCGTACCCTCTGGACAATACCGTGATCCATGAGGGATGAGGTGCCAGTTTTTACGGGGCGGGGGTTTGGGGTGTATGGGCTTTCAGGGTCTGCGTGAGGTCGTGCGAAAACTTTGAAACATGCACGGCTGTTTATCCGCTATCGCTTGTGACCTCGCAACTCAAGGCTCACCTGTTCCCAAGTTGTCGCCTTCGTTTCTGGCTATCTGACACATACCGAGCCACGAATCCCACGGTCGAGCTTTTACTCGAGCCCATTCGGTGACAAAAGCGACTTGTAGCTTTTACCTGCCCAGCTCCAGGCATAACGATAGCCCCCTTCTCAACAACAACAACTGGAATATAGGAACAACAGACTCGCAAAGTGCGACACATGGTCAAAAGCAAGTCTTAAGCATCCTTAAGACACCTTGCCATAAACATCACACCTATAACCTTGCATTATGGCCCTATTGAATCCGAAACTCTGAACCTTACAGGCCAAACGCCGGAAACCTACAATCTTAAACTCTCCTGAACCCCAAACCCAAAAGAGTCCTTATTAAACCCCATACATCCGAAGGCTTAAGCCAGGCAAGATGCTCACTCTTCAAATCCAAGCCCGCAGTGAAAAGCCGCGACTCACCGCCATGGAGGAACACGCAACCTTGGGTTCGGCTCTGAGACTCGGACAATCCAGGCGAGGCATGTGGTCTGGTATATGTATACATGGGTAGTTTTCAAAATTATGGTTCCTTTTTGGGACTTTTGGGTCCCTATTATAGTACGGCACCTAGTATTTAGGGTGCCCAAAAAAGGGAGAACCTTTTGACAACCACCCACATGTACGCAAGCGCACAAGCATACGTGGATGTCTATGTACGCGAGGCTGCGGCTGTATCTGTGTCTGCGTGTACTGTACGCAGATGCGCAAGTGTGAGTATGAATATAAACGTAAACTTAACAAACAAGGAAACCTCAAACTAACCAACAAAGACAAACAAGCCAATACTTGAACACTAAATAAACATGGACGGATAGCTATACTTCTGTACAGATTTCTTTGTCTGATGACTTCTAGCTGTCTAAACAACCTAGTTACACCGATCCAAACCTCAAGCGGGCCGGAGGACAGTAGAAAACTCATCAAGACTCCCAATAGCCCTGCAATAGCAACGTCGTGCGATTGCTGCCTGGCAACGAGTCTCTGGATCATCCGACGCCATCTCCATGCCTTTTCAGGCAGGCGGGGAGTGTAAAGTTAGGGGGAGCTTAGGATTTGGGATTTTCAGATGTGTATTTCAGAGCTTTTTGGGCGACACAGGTCCGAGTGTGTGAAAGGAGAGTCTGAGCTTGAGAGGCAGGCTTTTGCAACAGCTGAGCTTCTAAATCATTAAAATAGGGGACCCTAATATAGTAGGATCCTTATCATAAGGACCCCAAAACAAGGTACGCTGCGGTCAGACGGAACTGGGGCTGTTGAATTTCGAGCTTCGGCTCGAGCATTTTGTGATCTGGACGCGCATCGAACTACTTGCGTAGGGTTTCCAGATGTCTTTCATGTTGCGTCGTTATGGAGTGAGGACTCTGCGAAAATTCCGTCGTAGGCCACCCCGAACACGAAAAGGCCAAGACTTGAAACTTGTTAGTTTACACTCAAGACCGGAAGAACCAATGTACCGAATCACTGCAAGGATGGGCCTGGAGCCCCGACCCCTTAAGCTCTGCAAGAAACATCGCCCGGATCCTGAAGCCTACAGATGCCTCAAGTCCTAAACCGCAAACCCTGCAGCCTTAACGGCTTTCACCGAGACACATCGTCGCAGGTCCACCCACATGGCCCGGTTGAAGGCGTTCAGCGCCTCCAGCCGACGTAGAATGGCTCAAAGGACTTACAGAACTTGAGGCGTGTACGGCTCGTGAAGGTATTTCGGGGTCAAGCTTGAGGGCTTCGGGTTTGCGATATTTTCTGGGCTTCGGTTTCGGACTGTGTGCTTCCGAGGGCCCGTGTTGGGAGTTGGTTGCTGCGTTTGGGCATATCGGACCAAGGAACTCCAGCCCATATTCCCCTAATCATACAACTCAAACATTTGGGATGAAGCATCACTATAGAGAGCCTCACCCCACCCCAAGCCCTGCGGCCCGACGGCCTAAAGTCTAAAGCCCCATCCGGATTCCACGCCTTGGGTCTGTTGAGGGCAACCTCCAGAATGCCAGACTCCGGGTCTCGTTTCACTGCCAGCGCCTCGCATCAAAGATGAAGGCAGGCGATGCCCATGCTTGTACTCATTCATTCTTGCCACCACAACAACGACCAGCTGGTGATCTCCGTCCTCCTCCTATTTCTACTGCGAGTACTGCTATACAGCCGCTGCTGCTAAATACCACTTCCATCACTACCACCACCACGACTACTACCACCACCGCGACCACTACCACCACGACGACGACTACCACTACCACCACGACGACCACTGTCACTACCACTACCACGACCGCGACCACCGCTCCCACTGCCGCGGTGCAAAGCCCTGACCCTACTCCCAACGGCCTCAAACTCCCAGGAAGTGAACTCCGCCATTGGGTTCGCCCCGAGACTCAAAAGATACCAGGTTACCAAAACCGCGGAAACGTCGGCCGATCTGAGCCGAAAGCTGCAGACAAGGATATACCATGGATGCAGCGCTTAGTGTAGGATTCAATCGCAGCTCGGAAGGATGTTATTTAGGATTTAGCGTGGTGTGATGGAATTATTGTTTAGTGTGGCTCTGGGCTGTTTGAATGCTCTTTGCCCTCAGAGTGACCACAACACTGAAGCCTCAAAGCTTCGGTCAAACAGGGCTGCACCAACAGCCCATGACAGAAAGCTTTTAACCAGAGGGCTTGATGGGTTCTCAAGGGGCTTTTATCGGTTCAGGAACAGAAGGGCCTTTACAAGTTCGTGCTTCAGATTGAATCTAGACGAGGAACTGCAGAATTAAGACGCGAACGCGGCACCTTGCACAATGCAAGCTACAAGGTGCACGTTGCGGCGCCTGGAAGACCGAAACCCTAAACCCTCAACGCTAGCAATGCAGTCCGAGCATCACCGCCCCCGATCACCTCTCCCTTGGCATCGCGGAGCACTCCCGGATCGAATCTTCGCTTCCTGTCAGCAGGACTTTGTTGCCGACAGCATAAACTTGGAAAACTCCGATGCCCCATCATGGGGTCCCTATAAGAGTGTATCCGTCAGATCCGCTTAGAGCCTAGAGGCCGAAGATAGTGGCTTTGCATCACAGAAAACATCTTATGTTATGGACTTTGGGTCAGAAGCCCTACATCGGGACTACTTAGAGCTGAAAATGCAATCCGGAGGCCTCAGATGCTGGCATCTGGTGGCGCAGTCTGAGCACCGGGACCCTCACCGGGATATCACTACCCATCGGCGCCTCCCATCCGAGAGCTTCATTGCCGAAGATGAGCTGCCTTGCTTCGGGCATTTAAGAGCGGCGACAGCTGCCGGCATGGACTTGGGATTTAAGATGTGCAACACTACGAAGTTGGTTGGGGGCCGGCGCAGATTACTGTAGATTCGGATCTAGACTTCGGGGCAGCTTGAGAAACCTTGCTTTCGGCGGCGACAGCAATCTCCAAATGGTATAGGAGCCTGCTTCCAGGAACCGTGCGAAGGGGACGCCTACGTGCCGGAGCCCCTCCGCACTTTGATCGACATGGGGGTTTAGGGACGGGGTGCTTGTACTTTACAAAATGGACCCTGAGACCCTAAACCAGTAAAGCGCCAGAAGAAATAGAGTCCACCCACCGACAAGTTAACCCCGACCTTCAAACAAGAACCTACAAACCCGTAAGCCCAGGGTAAGGGAATGGAGTCGCGGTTCAGGCCTCAAGGCTCTGTCATGCCGGCTGGCTGCTGCTGGTATTGCTACCACCACTACCACCGCCAACTCTCTGACCGCCGCTCTTCCGTTAGCTACTACTGCTATACTTCTTGTGCTGCTACAGTACTTCTGCAATTACCTCGGAAGAACTGCCATGGCTACTGCTACCACTGCTAATCCTGCTTCAGCATATGTAAGTCCAAAAAAGATCCACACAAGAAGTCCTTGAGCTCCGAGCTCTTTGGCACGATTCCTTGCTTGGAGCCGGTGGAGGGCGTTGACGCCGCTCCGTCGAGGCCCTCTTCTGCCTGCTAAAGGCTTGACACTATGAGGGTTCAGGGCATTTGTTGGATCGGGCTTGAGGTAAGTGGGACAGCATGCATGGGCAATCTGCACACACACACACACACACGCACATTCTGAACGGCTCAGGAAAGACCCTGCATCTGTTTGAAACAAAAGGCGCAGCCTGACACTGCATGATAGATTCGAATCATTGCCTGAACAAACGTAAAAACAACGTGCGCATGTACACCTTTTCATATACCCAATGCCTGCGAACCGCAAACACCGCCAAACAACGCTACTTTCAAAACCCTACACCTTCGTCCAAATATAAGTGAATCGGCCTGTCTCTTCTCTCCTAGAACATATGTCGAAGATAGCTATGCTTCAGAGACCAGATGAAAAATGCACCTGCATGAGACCTCGAAGAACACCCCGGCCACATCTAAGCCGTCAACTCCAGACCTAGCTTCCAAACCAACTGCCATCACCTGGCTTTCTCCGGTGGTGGTGTCTTCCATCCACTCCTGGATTCTGAAGACATCCCACGAATGGCCGGTGTATGGTTAGGGATTTAGCGTTCGTAGCGTGCTTGCAAATGCAGGTATTTCGGGCTGCAGCGAAAATTGGAGAAAGCAGAAACTGAATTCGTGAAGTGTGTTCGCTAAATTTACTAAATTTTGTTTCTTTGAGCACCTTCTTCTGCTAGCCTCAAGACATCCTGTCTAAGGACTTCTCATTTTGGATTTTGGGATGCGAGGGCAAATTCGTACACCCTGCACATACTACACCGGACCGCAAAGGCCACACCATGCGGATCTTAAAAGGTGCGTCATGACGGTACGCCCCGCTCCTCAACCATCCACCATCCCAAAGCCTGCAATCTCAAGATGCTGAAAATCACGTCAGTCGAATCTCAGGCGATGCCTAAGTCGGACATTTCTCATTTCAAGCCGGAGACATCTCAAAAAGACACCGATCTAAAGGCACTAGATCCTGACTCCGTCACCGTGAAGACCCTAACGGCAAGTCCAAGCAGAGCCAAGTGGTCTGGAACTTCAAACCGTGCACGAATATGTCTGGGTGCCTGAATACTTCAGAATAGTGTTCCTTATGCTTTCTGGCATATTTTCAGTTGAACTTGAACCACCCCACGAAGTAATTACTTGTGTAGGCCACCAAGATCTTCTATATTTCTCCCACTCTGTGAGGCAGCGGCTGCAGTGGCAAATCCCTTCGACCGGAGGGACACGCGACCTGACAGCAAGAAACGCGCCACCCGCTTAGTTAAGTGTTGAAGGATTGAGGCTCCACGGATCCAGGATTCCGGAATGTAGTTATTTCGAGCTGAGATGAGTGGAAGGAACGAGAGCCGTCCACTGAAACAAGCCGCGAGACTTCTTGAAATAAGTAGCTGGGCCTCCCTCGTATGGACGACCCCTCAGATGGATGTATGCATGTCTGCGTGTGTGCATAGACATGTGCATAGAAAGGTTGGTGTATATAGATAAGTAGATAAAGATAGATAGACAGACAGATAGACAGTCAGACAGGTTGACACAGAGACAGATACAGAGAGAGAGAGAGAGAGAGAGCGAGAGAGCGATAGATGGGTTAGATATGTAGGTTCATTTGTTTGTTCATAGTATGTAAAGTATGTATATATGTATACATGTATATATATATGTATTATATATACATATTATGGGCGTAATAACAACAACAAAGATTCGCAGTACATTACGGTGCTGTATGGATTTGCGCCCACATATATGGGGACAACAAGGGGATACTGGGGAATATCATTGCTCATTCTCGACATGACACTCGAACCCAAAGTTTACCCTGGAGACGTCACCAGCAAGAACTACAAAATGAACAAAACATTTGAAAGGGAAAGGCAAGTTTAGAACAAGCCAAGAATAGGCCTGAACAGCGTATAGGGGTTATGTCTTACAACCTTTTATACGCGATCCGCGACTCGCTCTGTTGTGTCTGGAGCCGAGAGTTTAGACCTAGATTTTGGTCTGAGTCGTCTACCAACCATCCAAGCTCCTTTTCCCAAGACGGGGAATGCCAAACCCAAGACCCTCAAGCCCTCATACACCCGGAAGCATGACGAAGCTTCGTGCACTTCAACAGTGGGGGGCGAAACCCTAGACCCTAAACCCCAGTAAGTTTCGGAGAACTGAGACTCCAGGCCTCGCCCCGGCCCGTGAAACTCCGGGCGGCGGCCGGAGCTGGCCTTGTTTGGTCGTGGTATCGCTTCAGATAATCTGTCCTTTAAGCTCCGCGCCTGGCCTTCAGTCTAAATCACGCATTCAGATCGGAGGCCTGCAGCACTTCACTCAACGGGTTTCGAGTTCGGTCCCACAGGCGCACACTCTCTTGGAAACAGGTTGAGTGTAGGTTTCAGAAGCGCAGTTCGGCATTTCGGTGTCATTGAAAGATCTTTACATACACGCACATGTGCGCACGTACATACATACGTGCATACATGCCCAAGACTTCAATCGCATAAACCCTGTACATGATGGACCATGCCGTGTTGTGGACTCTGAAGCCTGCAGCCCTTCGCCCCCGACAACACCTGAATATACCTGAATCCCACCAAGGTCCGTGATGCCGGGTTCCGGGCTGAGGTTGGCTGGTTTGATGGTCGGTTGGCTGTCATCGGGTCAACCCGAGCCAGCAAGGGAAGAAACAGCGATTTAAATTGGAGCTGCTGGCTTCAGTTTTGAGGCTACAGCTTAGGGTCAGATGTTCAGAATAGTACGCTGTGGCCCAGACACTAGGGCTTAGGGCCCGATTGAAACTCCGAAATCACACACCCGAGATCACCCTTGCACACGCTAATCAACCTGAACCTGCACCCCCCACTCCGGGTCCGCGAGCTGCAGCGACTCCCACAGCCACAAGCGCGGCCGCCCAAGGCGCTGGCGAACCTTTCGAAGATATGGGCTTCGGCTTTAGGGTTTAAGGGCGTGGCTTGTTTTCTGAGCTTTTCGCGGTCTAGGGGCTCGCGATTCTGGGCGTTTTGAGCTGTGTGTAAGAGATTGTTGGGTTCGAATCGGGTATCGGCGGATTTGGCGTTTGGAGGCCAGCTTTTGGGGATTCTGGGGCTAAGTTACCCATAGGCCCCAAAGTAGTTCCTTTTTGGGATTACCTGATTTATCGACTTCTATATATATATATATATATATATATGAACCCCAAAAAGGAACTACTTTGGGGCCTATGGGTACTTCTGAATTACATTCAGGAGCAGTTTCCTACCAACGCGCCCATGGACATGAGTTCGCGGCATCTGTGTTGATCAGCTTCAGCTGTCATTGTGCTGAAGCCTATTCGACACAATCACAGACTTTTACTCCACATGACTAAGGCTGGAAAAGGTTTTGGACTTTAGGTATGC